AGAGGTTTACTTTTACTTCAATAAACCTCTTATTTCCTTTATGTCCTTGACATGCCAACTTAAACACTGATGATAAATATTCAACTGCTGCTACTGTGACTTAGCCATACTGATAAATCAGTGGTACCATCCCTAAATCAAAATTTATAGTTCTTAAAAATAAAGAAAAAAATAATAATAGGCATTGTCTAACAATTCATATGGGCCAATGTTGACAGTAATATGGATGATTTCTCACCAAGCCATCCCCATCAGTGACAGCTTCCTCTGTAGGTGGTGATGGCTCATTTGTCGCTGGAGGAAGCAATTCAGAAGCAGGCATAGTGCGAAGACGCTGTGAGATACCCTGCAGCAGCCGCTCCAGGTGTTGTAATGCATAGTGAGTAGGTGTATGATCTGGGGCTCCACAGTTGTTGCAAGGTACAAAGTTGTCATAACAACTAAATGTCTTAAACTCCATCCTGTAAGCCAGAGGGTTAATAATAAATAATATTCATTTAGTAGAATTAAAATTAAATATAAGTAATTAATCTATGACTGATAAAGAAGAGTTAAGTATAAATGTAAAGCATCATAATATACATCAAGACAATGGCTCAATGTATTTAAGTTGATATAATGAAACACCCTTCTGTCATTTTAAGAACTTACTTAGACTGAATTTAGAAGAAATAACATTTCATTTAATTACTTGCAATGCTTGTTGTTACACATTACATCAGGAGTTACTTACAATACAAATATTGAACATGACACCTATTGCCATATAGTACTGAATAATGGAAATAATATGCATGATGAACTATATCATTTTTAAATCAGTTACTTCTGACAACATAATGTTAGATTTCAATGTGTTGATGTACTCTATATCGAAAGTTGATCTTAGAATAGGCAAATGATAAGAACATAGGCATGCTGCATGTAAAATTAACCAACAGCTCATTCAACAACTAAAGCAGCTTGGAAACTTTGTAGCATCAAAGGAACATGCACTTTCATATGCTCATTACTGGAAAATATGTCTAGACCAAAAATTAAGCATACACTTTCACTTATGTTAGGGAAAACCACTGACATGTAATATAATTAAAGTTAGACTTGTAAGGAGTAAATATGTATCAGCTCTGCAATTTGCCTGTTTATTTAAAAATAGGAACACAGTCTTGTCATTTTGTATGTTAATGGAATCATTCCTACTTAAGATGTTTGAAGGCAGTTTTTACATACATTATCAGTACATGCATAAGAACATAAGAATAATGTAACAGAACAATGATCAAAATGAAAAACTGGAAATGTTTAATCTGCATTAAACTGTCACTTTCTTTCACCAGAAAATGGCCATCCATAAATTACATAATGTACATTTAGTTATATTTTAATACATGCTCCCTCTTACACGCTACCTCATGGCTATGTAATTTAAGGACAGCTCCCATTAAATCACAAAGGAACCCATATAAAATATGAGACAAGAAAAATATACCACTTGCCTGTTTTGATCCATTTCTGATGAGACAAATTCCATGAATGTTGCAAGTTTAGGAGCAGTCAATCTAATTAGAAGGAAATCATATTACTATACAAGAATTTTCCATACAATTAAAAAATCAAAGACCTCTTCAGTAGTTTGCCAAGGACCTGAAGGATGGGATAAATGTAATGGTGAATTATGATAACTTCCTTTTAAGGGCGTAGGTCTACAAGCAGAGACCTTAAGTGTTAGCATTACTTTTGATTAAAATGCTGGAACTGACTACATGTTTTATCTCTAATGCAACTTTAGCTTAAAGTTTTAAGAATATGTGAGCAAATGCTGGGCATGTCTTCACTCTCAATGCAATTTTAACATTCATTCTGGAAATAAAATTTTATTCAGACAGATGATGCTTTTAGAAACAATAAAAACATACGAGTGCTATACTACTGAACATAATTGCTCATGTATATCCTGGGACAGGGGTCACCTACCTTTTTGAGTGAGGGCAATTATTTCAATTCAGAATGGCACCATATGCTTTTTTTAAACACAAAAACAAAGAAAGCTTATGCACATTTAAAAATACTACTTTTTACAGTTAAGAGGCCATTAATATGTTGTATAAGTACTGACCAAATTTCCTCTCCCTCAACTGCTTACATGAAAGTTCTCACGGACACTCAGAAATATTTCTGTAAGCATACAGTTGATGATCTCTGCACTAGGGCATAAAAGACTCTTTCTTTCTTAGGTGTTACAGTAACAATTACTTCACTCCACAGCTTTACTTTTCTCAACACTTCTGGAAATGGGCATTAATACTGAAATTCAAACTTTCAATAAACGAAGCATTTATTCAGAATGAAAAACCATAAAGCCTCTGATAATGTCAATAAGAAATTATATCTGTAGTGCTTACCTAATGAGGCATGCTAACTGCATTAAGCACATATCCAGTCTCGCCAACAAAAGTTTAAATAAGAAAATATTAACTCCAACTAAAAATAATGAAAGTGAAATAAAAAAATAACATTATAATACAAAAATTGAGACCCATTTTCCTTCTATGATACCCCACTAGCAGAATAACTTATGCAATGGGAAATTTTCCTATATTATAGTATAAATTATTAATATACATCCAAAATGTGTGTTAATCTTGATATAGCACAGCATTCATCTCCCAGCACAAACAGATTCACAACAATAACAACATGACAATTATTTACTATATCCCTATATGCATAAAAAACAACTCAATTCTGCCCACAATCAATTATATTCACAGGAGTGTTGGCTGAGTATAAAAACATATTTATGGAATGTAGACTATTCACCTGAAGACATATGTAACTCTACCAACAAGTTTCACTTGGTGGCTATCCACAAACAGCATAACACATTAACTGCAATGTTTTTTATCCACTCCTGAAATTTAATGTCCCATGGATTTGAAGATGGCCAACAAGCATTATCATTAGTAATGAGCTGTAAAATTCTTTGATGCTTCTGCATTTCACAGTTCAGTTTTAGTAATTTTGATCTAATAATGAAGATGATGATGATATACTACCAACAATTTTATCTGCAATGAGTATACAACTGAATATGTTGCATTAAATTTGCAAGAAATGATGTCATATGTCCAAACAAATCAGTTTATTATCATACTGGATGTACTTTTTAACAGAATTTTATAGACGAAGTCTTAACAATGGCATAATAATCTACTGAATGTCCACAATTATGAGGAGAAGAGTTTGTCAATCAGGGGAGAGGAAGAAGAGGAGGAGAAAACAACACTTTCCAGACATTTCCTTCAAAAAGGAATCATCATGAACTAATGTTACAGGCAAACAATTGATAAGCACAGCAGAGAGGAGCCCTCAGCATCACACACGTCAAAACTGTCGAAGCAACACAAAGCTACAGATCATTCATGCAGAGGCAAGTGAACTGTGTTTTGTTCTAATCTTTTTCCTACATTCTGATGTTAAAATATGTCAGTATTCAGTTAACAAAGACTCTCATACAAATGCCAGTTAGAAATTCACTGTTCAGGATCTGTGGAGAAATCAAAAAAGCATGCTTTGCTCATACTAAATATACAGAATGACTAAAAAGAGAGCAGAAAATAATATTAAAAAAAATTCTCACTTGACACAGATAAGCAGATGACGGGGTCTGTTGAGACCTACCTATAATTAATAAAATTTTGATTATGAGCATGAATCTGAAGAAAAGTTAAAAAATGATATATTTTCTCTATAAAACAATATAAAATATCCAAACATTCATAGTGGCACATTTAACACATTATGCAATTTATGGACAACCCCACAGAACTTAATTTCCACTTCTGCCAAGTCTAGTTTAGAAAATGGCATTTCATAAAGTCATCTACAACTCACCTGCATACAAATACATTGTAAAAAGTGTGTAAGTTACAAGTCAATGTTTGCATGAAAGGAGAGACATGCAGTAACATGAAATACAAATATATGCTGTTTATATAGCGAATTAAATATTGATGTATGTCAATCCAGTTGTTTTCTATAACTTATCATCAGTTTCTGGCACTGTCACTGTTCCACATCAGCCAGGTTTAAAAATTCTAATAACTGAAACATTCATTCATTCATTCATTATCAATTTAAAAAAAGTAAACTCTTTCTAAAAATAACCACACTTGCTTGTTTAATAACCCACAAACTTTTATACCATGAAGATGGAAGCAACATATTCCTCCAAAATATTTCTCAGAGACAAAACAAAAACCAAGATGAACAAGAGACTCTGGGAGACCCAGAAAAAGATGGTCTTGGACATGAGCCAAAACAGGCTATTAATCCTATCCCATGAAGTTCATATTTATTATGATGATTATGACAAAAAAATATATTTCACAAAAGAACCTGAAACCTTTTTAATGCATATGTACAATCAAACTAGCATTAAAGGTATTTAGTGTTTCATGAAGCTCTTACAATTAAAGTATCACTGGATGAAAGTGAGGACCAATGCGTGCAATTAAACAGCTTTAACTGAAAATGTATTTTGGAAAAATATGGTACTACAGAATTATCAAACAGCTGATACAGATAGAAAGTAAAGAAGCATAAAAGTTTTATGGTAAAAAAAAAAGTGTTTCAAATATCTGTATTAGTATTATGTATGTGATTTTTATGCTTCAAAGTGGACTAAGTGAATGGCTATGCTAACAAAATTCCTAAAATCAAGAAACAATTCAATTACAGCACTTTACTCTTTTCTAGCTGTTTAACAGACATATCTGCACAGTGAATGGCCATGAACAATTAATGACAATGCTTAGATTATCACAAGATAAGTAATGCCAAGAACTTTTGAAATACTTCTATGCTTATGAGAAACCACCTGGATTCCTAAACTTCTGAAATCACTTCAATTCGAACCAATTTTTGAAACAAAAAGAAAAATCTAGGGACCAATGAAAGTAAAATTTATTTTTAAATTATTAATATATTTCAGAGTGACAGGGTGAGATAATATTTTAATACAATGCTATAGAACACATATTTATTATATGAATTTTGAAGATCATACTTAGTTTAACACTTCTGTAAAGAAATAATACCATTATTACACAAGCAAATATGGTATACTGCAAGATAAAATATAATAAATCTTTCTCTTGTATGCAGCATTTCTTTGTATTTAGAAAAAGGTTCACTTGTCATACATGTAGTTTTAATGAAATAACAGCACCTTTCTATGCACTGTAAGTACAATGTTTACTTATACACTTCACCTGCACCCCAATGACCAAGAGCAGAAGCTGTGTAACTTGAAATAACTAAGCTTACTTCTGACAAATAGGATGCACTTTAACATGCAGTTATATACAAAGTCATTAACTATTTTAAATAAATATATATCATATTTAAATTAGCTACTTCTGCTGTATTCCAGTCACAAAATGTGAAAGTAAGATCAAAAACATCTTTAACTTTAATAAACTGGAAAATTCACAGCCAAGGAAACAAAACACCACATATCTATGTGTGAGTTAATTAAAAAATATAAGATTATTTACAATATTTGTGAAGGCAGCTACATAGTCTAGAATGAAACCCACTACTAAGTAATAAAAAAAAAATTGAAACAATCTAACAATATACTGCAAGCAAAAAATTACTAAAAATATAGCTCACCTTGATGGTCTCACTACTACAACATGACTATCAGGAAAATAAGTATGAAGCAACACAGCAGTACTTTCCAGGTTCCATTTCACATAATTCTTGTTATCTCTATGATTTTCCATGTTCTCAGGAAAGTCCTAAAAAGAAACAAAGGTAATAATCAGGGCTGCTGTCACTGAAGAAAGTCAGTTTAAAAGAAATTAGAATCTACTTTACTGCAGAGTTCCATCCTCACTCTAGGTCAACCTGTAAGTCAGTGGTCCCCAACACGGTGCCCGCAGGCGCCATGGCGCCTGCCAAGACTTTTTTGGGTGCCCGCGTTGTTATGGAAAGAGGTTATACTGAATAATGAAGGCCGTTCAACCATTAACATTATAAAATCAAAGCACAGATCTTGACTTACTGATGCTCATCTTGACGATCGTTTGCGAGCAGCAACATCATCCTACACTCCCAAATTTGAAAAACTGGCCGATGAAATGCAGTGCCAAACATCACATTAACTTCCCACTTGAGTAATAATAATTGTACTTATAAAACTACGTATTTTTGATTGCATGGTTTCTTGTATCATTAAACATTGTGTTGTTTTGTGTATTATTTGGTGTCCATAACTTCTTTGTCCAAAGAGAAGAAAATTTGGCTTTGTTAATTGGTTGGTGCCTGCCACGATCTCATAAACTCTCAAATGTGCCCATAGGCACAAAAAGGTTGGGGACCACTGCTGTAAGTAAAAACACTTAAAATATTATGAAAATATAATTTTCTCACTTTATTGACAAGATTCTGAATAGTGTTTCTGTAGGAAATTCAAATCCCTGAAAACTTCCTCCTAAATTTTCTGACACTTATGCATCCCATAAGATCCATATAAAAAATACTAGATACTCTAGTGCAAACATAGCCATCTCCCACACAAAGGGAATTTCGCAAAACACTTCCATACTGCAAGGGAGTATTATAACACTTCCCCTATCACTGCTGCTGACTCGCAGTATGACCTGTGGCAACCAACAGTGATCATGCGTAGTAGAAAGGGTCTGTTGGCCTTGTTGTTGCACAGCTGCCAAATACCTTACCTGTAAAATAAGGAAGTAGGCTAAAACACATTGTGTAATGAAATGCATGGACATTTCCCAGATTAGACAGACTTTGAAAACTGGGGTTCTCACAGAAGTAATGATGTGTAGTGTTGGAAGTAGAATATGAATGGCTGTTGGGGTTACAATGAAGTTACAACAGGCCCAGTAAGCCAATAATGAAATCTACCTACTTTCAAAATGCAACCTTGTCTCGAGTGGAGAGGCTTGGTTAACAGATGGCCCATGTACAGTAGATATTTCTTAGGAAGAAGGGAAGAGAATAATAATGCTTCCATTTTGCTTAGGAATTAGAGATGTTTTCTGGATATCTCCTGTTTAATACAATGTAATTTAACTTAGGAACAAATGTTACTGGTTCCTAATATTGTGAATGCTCAATAAATGTTCCAATCTTAGTTTCTGATTCCCCTTTAAGTCTCTCCATTCACATACTGGATACTGTGTTACTGGGAATGACCCAATCTTCAAGTGCCTGAGCAATGTGGGTCCCAACTTTTTGTTGGCCACTTCATTCTCAGTGAAGTGAATCACCAGCTTCACACTTCAGCCACTCTATCCTGAGGAATAAAACACTCAGTACGAGATACTGCTGCTCCATACACATTTTATGGTGGTAAGAGACAATTCTCCAAATGCTTTTTCCATGAATGAAACCTGAACAAACATTTCATAGTGAGATCTCAGGTTCTCATGGCAGTGAGTATGAAGATGCTGTCATCTGGGTTACTGGGCCATGTAGCCTGGAAGAAGTTTACCTATATTACAGATGTGCTTGCTGCCTTCATCATCAGGGTGATAAGTAAGTTATATGTGAAATCAGTTTGAGATATGGGAACCAGTTGGTCAAGGTATAACCGAGGTTCTACATGGTGCAACAACCCAGAAGACAACCATCTTCATCCATTTCATACCTAGTCACTTTACAGATTGAAATGAGCAGAATTTATTTTAAAGGATCCTACTGTATAAAGCAATGATTAAGCATACAGTCACACTGAGATGTGAATCTCACCAAGACGCCCAGCACTGTATGTCTTTCTCACTGAATTCTATCAATAAAACCAATTATGTATAGCATCCAAGCCTGGCATAACACTGTATGTTCCATATGTAATAATGAAGTTTAATTACCTCCAGTTGCATTACTTTTCCTGTACCACACTGTACTTACCTTACACATACCTTCTAAAGCAGCACAAAAACACAGAAAAACCAACAACAAACCTGCACATCTCCACCAAAGAACACAACTGCCATAGGCAATAGACAACATCATTAATGCGTCCATCATAGCCAGTGACACCACACAAACGAACCGGACAGACTGGAGGTGGTGTGCCCAACATCCTCCCCTAATGAAGCATAAACATAATTAAATATTATCATTATCAAACACAGACCAAGTGTCCAATGCATCAACTGCTGGTTGCAGTAATCAAATTTAACTGAGGCCCCAAGAATTAAAAACACCTACACATAACAAAGACATTTTGAAAAGAATACATGTCTTTCAATGTTAACAGTGTTTCACCTAAAGATTCTAATGCCAGATAGCAAATTTGATATCTTCTTCATTCTTGCTACAGCTAGCTCCATTTTAGTCTTTGCCTTCAATTTCAGTTTATGAATCCTATTCAGACATAACAGTTTTGCCCCAAGAAAGAATCAAACCCACACACTCAGTATATTTGTGGCCCAAAATCATGAATGTCTTAGATCGCACAGCCACCAGGACTAAAAGTTTCCAAAGGGGAATTAAACTGGGTGCATACAACAGAGACTTAGTAAATAAACATTTGTATGTAAACAAGTCTTAAAATTAAGAACTTCATTGATAAAAAGTATTTTATTATTTCTGCTAATTAAAGGTCATTGTTAACATGATTTGTTATTATTCATATATTTATCTCCATTACTTAGGGTTTAATAATAAAAGAATATAAATAATGAAAACAATTAGTATTAATTGTGAGTAGATAATGAATTTTCATTATATTCAAGCTTTAAAAGGATATATTACATTACTTACCTCTGAAATACAAGAATTCTGACTGCTCAATCTACTGAGAGGTACATTATAACAACAGTGCATCTTGTCTCTTAAAATTTGTTTGCAATCAGTTCAACATTTCCTACCAAGCATTAGCGTCTGTACAATTGACTTATTCACATTTCATTATACAGAACTGTTAACAAAACAAGAAACTCTTACTCATGAGGAAATGTTCTACTAAAAGTCAAACACTTCCTGTATTAAACTCTAACTGCAACAGCTAATCTAAGAACACAACACTCAATAATGATTGAAGCATGAACACTTGATTAAAATTTGCAAGAAAAAATAATTCTGAAAAAACAAATATATGCAAAGAAATTACTGTAATGTGGTCTATGGAACTTCTGAGTAGCAAAGTATTTACTCACATTACAGGTCACAGATTTGTAAAAGGATGAAATTATTACATACATATAAGTTTTAATACAAAAACTATATAAATAATATTCACAGCTACCCTCTACATCCAATTCTTCCATGTGCAACTCAAGGACACATCATCCTATGGAGACAATGTACCCATTTAACCTGGCTATACAAAACTGGAGTAACTTGGTTAATGTTGTTATTTAACATAATTTGGGAAGAACAACTCAACGAATAAGAGCAAAATGTAAACAAAAATATTCACAATGTGATACTTACTGACTTTCTGGTACCTTCTTGTGTCCAACAGTGGAGAAATGAAACAAAACAGGTAAAATATTGTTTCCACGTTCTTACTCTGATCATCCAGTCGTTTTACTATGTGGTGGGTCACCAAATGATCCAGTCCACATCTGTAAATAATTCATATGGATACTCAACATTAGTCATGTCTCCTTCATTTACATTCATAACATTTTATAAAGTTCAAACTGTAAAATGTTATGATCATACTAGCTGAGCATACGGCTTGTCAAATTTGATGAGTATGAAACTTTTTGCGTTGAACAGTAATACTATTTACTGCAGCATTACCTTGGCAGAAGCCGGCTCTGATTTTGTTACATGAGCACCAGACTTCATAGTTGAAAGAAATTAAACAATAGTGAATGAAGCAAAACACGTCAACACAAAGCCATCTACCAATCTCCAGACTCCCACCAAAGGCACACCCAACCATACCTTCATTTTAAATTTCTGCTACCAAAGCCACCATGGTTAGAACTTAAACAGAACAGACATACAGGCAGTCAGACAGATAACATTAAACTGTGAACCAGAGAAATGTCTGAGAACCCCTTAACTGTATTTATATGGCAACAGTTACAATAATTAAAGCATAACAGATATGTAAATAGTTCTGTAATCATTATCCTATAAGGTCAAAAACTGATTAGTAGCACTACTGTGCCAACAGTTATAATATCTATGAATAATAAAACACATACACAAGGGTTGCTACTGTAGAGGAGTAGGTATCATGTTTGTCAAACAGAATTAAAAAACAAATTACAAATGTTACAATAACAGTAACTGCTTCTGTATGCTAGAAAAACATTGACAATTAAAGGCTGCCATTTTTAATTGATGACTCAGTTTATAATTTAAGCAGACCGAAGAATGCTTTAATCAGATAACGGTTACATAAACTCAATAAAATAATAATACAGGGTTCCAGACATTGTCATCCATTCACAATAACAAAGTTAAGGAAAGCAAATGCCTAAAATACTTTTGGGTCAATTATCTTGAAAATAAACAAGATGAAAGAAATAATTCCGTCATTATACAATTTATTAATATTATATTTCTAAATTAAAAAAAAGTTTCAGCATATGGATTTTGGCAACCATGAGTGGCAAAATGTTATAATACAGGTAATTACATCTGAAAAACAAGGCAATATATTAGTCTCACTTCACAAAAAAAACTTAAGACAGACAAAAGAAAACAGAATTAAGAACATAAAATAACATTTTATTAGTTTTCAATCATTAATTTATTACTGACAGCACATTAACAATCTAGGAAACAAAATTACCATATCATACAATGCCTTTCCTTGGTAGATGCCAGTCATTCGACTATTCAAGAAAGTCTTGTGTTACAGACTCACAAGTATCTGGATAGTACTATGCGCTAGTTCAATTCATAACACTATGATCCTCCAAGCTGTGTAAGGTTTCCCAAACAAAATTCTGTATTCTTGCTTCCCACTAATGACCACAGTTTAACAGTCAGCATTACTGATTCATATTCGGGAAATATGTTCACAATTCTACACAGAAGTTGGCTGTCATTACTGAGGTTATCTACACAAATGCCAAGATAGTGCCTTAAAATAGGACACAACCACTTCCTTCCACACCCTTTAAAATTATATCCATACATAATCCTACATACATTCCCTTTTCAGATTAAAATACAGCACAGCACAGATTTTTTTATGATGATGATGACAGTGGTATGCTAATGAGAAACGAACATTTTGGAAATAGTTATTTACTTGAACCAAGTCCATTTTAACTCCCGAACTATTTATTATTTATTTTAATATTATCCTCCAATCTACACCTGTATCTCCCACATGATCTTCCTCCAGGTTTTCTGACCAAAATTTTGTTGTGCATTTCTGACCTCTTCCATGTCTTCCCCAAATAATCCTTCTAGATTTATGCATCCTCACTTCCTCATCCCTTGTCACCATGGCATGAAGTATCCTCAGTTTGCAGAAGAAGATGGCCAAAACGTAGCTCTGAACATACTGAATAAAAGTATTTAAAAATCCATTTGTATTTCAAAGAAACTGGTAAAGAAAGTGCTGTTTATTCTGTTGCATCCTGACTTCCGACTGGAGTCCCGCGACGTCGTATCTTGGATGTGAACGCCGCTTCGAATCGAGCAGGGCGATCCGGGACTGTGCGGGCGAAGGGAACGAAGAGTTCTCGGGTGGAGAGTCGCAAGCAATAGTAGGAGAGGCGCGGTAAGAAATGATTTATTGCTACAACAATGTAGTACAGTAAGTGAACCAGGTCTGGAGGAGACGATGCGTCCGAACTGGACAAAGCTATGTGCACAGAATCGACCCGTTTCTGGAACGTTCCTTCCTTAGTTTAACAAATACAGTTTCATATTTATTCTCGGTGTTTTTCTCTGTTTTCCCTGTAGCACGTGATGTCTCGCACTCCGGACCTCGTACTGCTCAGAGTCCAGTTTCCTCTACTTCGACTAATCTAATTAAACATTGTCAGAGCTAGCACAGAAAAAGATACCAAGTTAGAAATATGCAGACATCAATATTCGAGGTACAGTTTCATATCTATTTTTATGGTTGATTAGTACTTAACTTGCTCTTGTTGGTTAACACCTAACCGTATTCCAATATATCATAATTAATACCGACATTATCCATATATACCAATTCTGTGAATCATACAAAACCCTTAAATATATACTATGGGAAAAACGCAGACTTACTGGTTCTTTTGATGATAAAAGACACACAGACACAACCTCCACATTATGCATTAATTTCATTTACTTTGTACAAGAAATTGATAAATATATTTTGTAACATATTCAGGATGGATTCCAACTAAGCAAAAATAAATACTTTAAAATGAACTTCAATGCCAACTCGCAAGTATGTGTAACATGTTTTAAATGTCAATGTTTCAGTTCAAAGCACTGTTTAATGTACTGTGTATCAGAGTCTTTCTGTGCGCAACAAATTAGTCTGTTCATAGTCAATAAATAAACTGTACTACTGCAAAGGTTATTTTGCAACACATGAGATGTCATGATTAGCAATAGTAAACTAGAAAATACTGGGAAGGAAGTGGCTTTAGCCTATAAAAAGTACAAATCTGACAAATGTTTGCAGGAACTGAAGAAATTCATGACAGTGTCCAAGACTCAAACAAGGTACCTACAGAATACAAGTCAAACATACCACAATTTGATCTAACCAGCTCAGTATGTACAAAAATCAGTATTGATTTTTGTTACTTTTAAGTTATTATTTGTTTGTCAATTACTTTATTTAACAACATTTATAGTAACTGCACAAACAATATAGCAACAAATAATAGGATAATAATGAATATGTAGAAAATGACACAGAAGAAAGCAGTTATGGCCTATAATTTGCTTTGGTCTCATAAAATTTCAAATAGCTGAGGTTTCCAAAGAAATACTGGCCTTCCTCCTCCCCCACTCTAATGCAGATATCAGGTGCTGTGCTCCTGTGGTCAGTTCACTGAAACTATGAATACTGGTATTCATAACCTTAATCTAACCTTAAAGTTCATCTGAAAAAAGTTTCACATGGGACAAAAATTAATTTACATAATGTTTGTTCTGAAATGTGTAGTTAATTTTTGTTCCAAATGTGTCCAAAGCTTGGCATAAACTGAACTACAAAAAGAATGCTAAGCCCCGTTTCACCCATAAATTTTTAAAAACAATCTGTTCCACAACTTTTTCTCGTAACAGTTTTCCTCTGTCTGATGTAATTAAATAAAATTAAGCAAAGTCTTTATGAAAAACACGGGCACTGACCAGCAAAGGAACAGTTTTCAATACACAATATAGTTCAGAAGATGTGGATTGCAAAGTTAAGTTAAAATTATTCCACACACCTCTCAAAAAGTCAGTTACAACACATAGTGTGTCTAAATTTATTCTACAACTTTAAAAACAATTACTACCAATCTTTCATATAAAATACTAAGTTCAAGTTAATGGAAAAGTGTGGACAAACCACACAACTATAATCTGACCTGAATCTGTCAAATATTTAGGATATGAAATATGCATGTAAACATGCCTTCAGTTTTTTCATACGCTGAGTACAAATAGCATATTTGTTGACAGAGTTCTTCTGGGTTGTAATGCAGAGTGGAGTTGTAGGTAGATATAAAACTTTTCGAGAAACATACTGCCTCCATCTTCAGGGCTATACCCAAAAGAACATCATCTTCACCACCATGAGGACCTCGTATCTAAGTAGACATTTTAGTGCATAAAATGTCAGAAATGTATACTAAATGGCTCTCATCACTTCTGCAATTACAGCAACTTGCATGAGTCTCATGTTGCCAACTGAAGAACCGTTTAAAAAACATTCCCTCCATTTGTGTCAATTGCAAAACCATTGTACAGCATTTCATGTATGTGATTTTCAGGTTAAAACTAACTTTCAAGAACAAGAATCCACAAACACAATACAAAGATACTAATATGCAGATAATTTCCAGCATTTTAATTTTAGCAATATTCCATTTAGTGCTGCAGAAGTTAATTTGGAACTACAAATGCTCAATTTTAGTGCAAATCCTCCCCCAAAATGCATGTATCTCATTAGGTACAAAAAGTATTTATTTGACAAAAAGATTAATAAATTTATGTACACTATTATTACAAGGGTAATAAAATGCAACTGCCTTCTCTCAAAAAATGGTGTCAGTGGTCCTTGAATTGACAGATGGGAAATTTACACACACATATAAACAGCTTAGACCTCAACTGCTCATAAACAGGTAGGGTAAAAGACCCTTCTCCCATGAAACCAACAGTATGCACAAAAATATTGGGTAAAAATGTTTAACTTTACACACACAAATTTACATCTGTCAAAGTCAATAGCCGCGCTTACGCTGATAGCTGGATATTATACGGACTCTAATATCTTCCAGCCACTGCCTCATCTCTGTCTTAAGTTCACGCACCTTCACCCGTATTTCTTCACGCATCAAATTGAAACACATTGCAATAAGGCCCATTCCTAAGAGCAAATACACAAAATTGATGACCAGTTTTGTCTGATTACCACTATTTAGAGCTTCAAGTATATTTGCTCCAGGAACAAAGTCACCGATTCCAATTTTGCAAAGACTAGTCACACAGAAATATGTGCTGTCAAGGTATTCCCACCCTTCCCACTCAGCGAACATGATAGTTCCCGTGAGCACGTAACCGCCCATAACCCACAGACACGCCGTGGAGGGGACAATGATACGGGTAGCTGGCAATGGGGGCAGACTGCTCTCAGAATCACGGTCGCCTACACCGTCCTCAGTACACTCGTACAAACGCCTGTACAACCAACGGAATGTTGAGGCCAGGACCTTCCCCATATTCATGAAGTACAACACATACAACGGAATTCCAAAAACTGCATACAGCACGGTGAGACCTTTCCCCAGTGGTGTTTTTGGCACGACATTCCCATAGCCGATCATGGTAAAAACAGCCAAGCAGAACATCAAGGCGGCTGGGAAGGTCCATAATTCATCACTGGTTCTGCCGTTATAACCTTCCTTATATGCTTTCGCAAAACCGTCCTGAAAGACTTTCAACACCCTGTCAACCTCACTGCGCCAAGCAGTTTCGTTGAAAGCAAATTCACTGGTAGTCAAAGTCCAGATGTCACTAGTACAGTTCAAATGAAGACTCGCAACGATCTCATTTTGAGGATTCTTCCAGTCCTTCTCAACCGACATGAAACCAAATGCTCCGACAATGGCATAACCAACCACGAGGCCACCGACTCCAACTTGAGTGCACATAAACGCCACCAATTTTCGGCAACAATCCTTCACCCTCTCGCGAGGGTCACTAGCCGTTGTCGATGACGAACCGCGACTGCGCACTGAGCTTCGAACCCCGGACCCACCAACAGACCTCATCTTATTCAATCGATGGTTTACAGAACACTGAAATAGTTCGCCCACTGACGCAGTTATGGAACCCTCCAAGACTATTTCTGGACGCACTTGGCATCGGGCCCTCTTGTGCTACCAACTGGCAACATCACACTCTTACAGATTCACTGGATGAATTAATTTTCACTGACAGAGGGCATTATACAGAGAGATCACGTCAACTTGACTTTACGTCTGCCTTTAACACCCATACAGCTTGCACTATACCAGTGTTCATCAAACTGTTCCGTGGAACCCTGGGATGCGTGTGTAGTTGTTTATTGTCTTCAACCTTTATACAGAATTGCTAGCTCGGTTCCCGCAGAATCAGAACGTTATTTGCACATAAAACATGTACACTGCAAGAAAAACCTGTTGCGTTTCTTAAACGTAAATGGATTAAACGAAGCATTTTGAAACTCATCTCAGTGACTGAAGGTGAAAATAAAAATGTGTTAAGCATCCAGCAAAGTGAGCCTATTTCGGAGAAATCCATACGACTGCCAAAAATCTCACCGCATCCTGAGACAGTCGCTTGAAAGTTAATCTACTAGGCCCACTTTCAGATTGTACGTTTTCGAAAAGAATGTAGAACGTGCGCTGCAATATCGAATATCAGTCAATTAAACGAGTCTAGGAACAGATCGAACATTATCGATCGATCTTTTATTAGAAGAGAGCTACAGGAATAGATCGAACTTCATCATTTGTGATCCTGTTTCTCTTTGCAGTTGTCGCCGTTGTTTTCTTGTTCTTTTCATCATGTCCCATCCTGACACAACAGATTCTTTTATATTTATATTGCCTTCCATTTCTATAATCTATAGAAGTGACAACTTGGGAGTGTCTTCGAATTTTATCGATTTTCTATCGATTTGTGTTCTCGTCTCTTTCTCTCTCCCATTGCCACCAAAATATTTTCCGCTGCACTCTCATTATACCTAAAACTGACACAGTGGACTGTAGGTGTATCATATTAATAATTATACATTCTTTATGCAAGTTGACTACTTTGGAATGCAGTGGGTCTTGCTTCTTTTTTGATGAGTTGGTTGGCCAGTAATACAATTACAAGTTATCTCCCACAAATGATTGACATTGTCCACAGATCTTAATTCTGGGTTTTTTCAACATATTTCACTGTTCAGGTCAAACGTTAACTTAAACATAATGGCCTAACAGGTTTCTATTTCCTTATCCCTATACTGAAACACTGTATTATTCAGATGATGGACAAGCCCAAAAGAACAAATTTACATTAATCTATAAGGTTGGAAACGCGATTTGTAAATAAACACTTACCTGTGGTTGGGTTTATACTTTATCTATCCTCCTCCTCCTCTGAAAATAAAATGAGCCATAACTCATAGGCAAAACATCCAAGGACCTATGTTTAAAGAAATGCTTGTTTCTGTGCACAGAATGTCCCCAAAGTGGTGTCATGTATTCCAAAAACATATACATACAACAAATAAGTTCAAAAGAATCTGATGCTTAATGTGCACACCCCTCCATGTTCACACGACAGAGTTGTTTCAATCGAACTGACTTATACATGACTAAAAAAAAGGCCTTAATTGGAAACAATGTATTGCTTTTTATGCAGATGGTGAAAAAATACATGGTTTTATTGCACATGTTAAAGTCAATGCAACAGAATGCACTAGTAGGCAATGTCATGAAACTCTTGCTGCGAAAAAGATTCCGAACACATTGAAAACAGTGATAGATGACAATGTAAAGGTCATAAATTTTAAAAATCAAGACAAATGAATTCAAGAATTCTCCAGTTTTTTTTAAAATTTAATAATGATTGTATTTTACCTTTTCCAGCTAACTTTCTTCACTATACATTTATTTAAATTGATACTTCATCCATAATCCTTACATACCATAACAACCCTCTGAAATTTATTCCCTAAAGTGTTTTCACTGGGTTCCCATATAATTATGCTTTCTTCATACACAGTACTTCCTGGAATTCCATTCTCTTCTCCTTATGTTACTTCTGTTATTAATTTATCCATTACTATGTTTAGCAGCACAGGCTATAAAACCCTGTCTTGTCTAATCACTCTAAACATTCTGAAACTTGAATATTCTTTGCTGTAATAAACATAGTATTTTCATAACTGTCATAATTTCTTTATTCTCTCCATTAGTCCTTTTAAAACATTTTCCGTCTGTAACATTGCTTCAGATTTCTTCAAGATGTGTAAATGAAGCATTATTCTGTCAGCAAATTTGGTGTTGGAAGGTCTAGTAAACACATTAAACAACAGATGTACATGTGGGCATAAATGGCTGGCTCTCAATACATTTGAAGAACATACCCAGAAACTTCACAACTAAACCTCATCACTTCATCTGTGACATCAAACAAGAGGTGGTGTGATGACAGTGATCAGTTTGTTGAAATAATGAAAAAGGAAGCAACTGTGGTCTATTTTAATGTACTGGCTCAGCTTTTGTCGGGACAAACAAAGAGAACTAAAAGAGAAGCCAGAACAGTTAGGTCCCTAGCTGTCCCTAGCCAGAAATTAAGCTAGAAACTTCCTACTTCTACTCTACTTATCAGGACTCAACCCTGGAACCCATTATCATATATAAACACTCAAACCTATACTTAAATAAATAAATACTCAAGCTGAATATGAAGATCTATATTTGCTCTTACAATGTATAAATAGTGTATTAAAGTTTCATAGTGATCAATCATAAATCTGTGTGCACTCAATTAAAGTTCACTTTTGTGAATTATAAATCCCTCATGCCAACAAATTCATATTCAAAAAAAAATCTGTGGCTTCGTGACACAAATACTATCACTGACATTGTAGTGAACAGTAACTGTTTCAAGAAATATCAAATCAATATGTACGGTATGCTACACATATGAGTCATGACCTGTCCTGTAAAATGACACGGAATTGCAATCACGTCTAACCAAGAAATTGTAATTTAACCTAACCTTCATTAAATTTTTCCAAATTTTATATTCCAGCGAATTTCCAGTTCACTTACCTTCCAGTAAAAGAAACGTTGAGTATAATTCAAGTAATAAGTGTCTATAATCATAAACTTGTCATTTCGTCGAACTTATACTGCACAATATAGCCCTTAAATTTTGTTCAACTTACAAACACATTCAGTAACTTCATCATCTCTACATCAATATTTGACCACCAGAGTGCTCTGCTTTACTGTAAAACGAAACGGGAAAAGACGACTATATTGCGCCGTGCTGAGAGAGATAAGAGAAAGACAGTACAATGTTGGTGGCGGTTTATTTGAATTTAAATGTATGTCTCGGTAGCTGGACGGTAATAGGAAATGATTGAGTAAAATAAGAATGCCTCTTTGGCTCTGAGCCATCAGACGTAATATGAGTACGGGCTGTCATCTATCAAGCTTTCTGTGAACTAAGGATGCTGCAATCTATGAGGAGTGCGAAATGTACGCTCCATCCGTCTCGCGATTTGTTTGTGTCGTCCAGCGGTAAGTTGTGTTGCCATATATTCTTAATGACAATCAAGCACGTAAAGATAAGCGACATCGATCTACGTCAATAGAAATATGGCAAACTCATAGGATACTTCAAGGTGATTCATTAAGCCCCATGGTGTTCAATATCGCGACCAGCAAAGCAATAAATGCAATTCAGAGACAACAGGACAAAAATGTACGCAAATGCAGATGACATGGTCATAGTTTCTGCAAGAGTCCAAGAATCATTTAACGACTTGGGCCAATAGACAGAAGAAAATAGCCTACAAATAAACGTCAGAAAAGGAAGGAAGGAAGGAAAAGTGAGGCTAGGAGACAAAATGATATGCCTCTGTAAGCTATGCGGAAGGTGGCAGGCAGGTATATAGATAGCTATATGTGCACATCTCAACTGTATATATCTATGTCACAGACTGCAAACGAAGGACTATCGTTGACTGAAAAAGCAGAAGAAAACTAATGCGCACTGTGCGAGATTCAGTACTTAGTCCATATATCATTTTCATGAAGTGCACTATAACTACATATCAGTGGCTGTATAAACCGACAGTCTTGACATCTGTCAATAGCCATAGGAAGACGTGAGTGAATTATTGACTATGCGTAATAATTAATTATTGCAATTCTATGCTTTTCTTATATACTTATTCTTGGGGTGATCAGTCATTCGAGGCCGTTTAACATGTGAGGGGTTGCTAAGCAGACGTTCGGCAGAGTGAACAGCCCGTCAAAGGATAGCACAACACATGCTAACTATCCGAAAGATGAAGGCTCACCCTTTTGACCACGGGGCCTCTGTGACCGGCATACATGTGCAGAAGTCTAAATTTATCACTACTATAAATTCTGAAGAAAAACATGCGAGTTTTAAAAATATCAATGGTAGTAAGTGTACGGTTGCTTATGTAATTAATTGTTATATCTATGTTCAGCTATGGAGATGACATTAAACGATGTGTGCATGGAATGCCGCTTAAAGAACACCTTTGAATCGTTAGTGTATTCCAAAGAGTACACCTTTCCAATCTCGTATTAAAATTCACTGATCGTAATACATTATAACCTAAATCAATTAGGATTCTTGCATAACTTAACTTTATTTTGCATTGTGTGTGTTATGCGTGTATGGCAGACTTGTCATATATATATATATAGGGATAAGGTGCATGATTTTTCTGTATTATTCATTGACCATTCGGTATAATGGTTTACAGTTATGCTTTGGACTTTGGAGTTGCCTAATTTGAAATTGCCTCAGAATTGACTGTTGTGACAAATATCCTCAAATATTCACACATACACACACAGTGACAAATCTTTTAGTGTTGAGCACATTTTACAGTTGTACTGTTCTTGAAACGCTGGATGGTTTCAGGGAGTTCCTGTGTTATTCATGTCATGTTGAGAAACATAAGAGATTTTGTATTGGAAAATAAATTCTGATGTCCAAATAGAAATTCTTATGTTCATTGCACTTTTCCTTTGCATTTAATTGGTTTATTTTACAGTACACAATGCCATGACTGCTAATATTGTTTTAGTAGGTGTCATTTTCAGTTCTTCCAT